CAGTACACTGTGTAGGCCTTTTACTAATCGCTGGGGATTCAAAGACTAAAGGTGAGATTACCCTCAAGTATTTGAGATACTTGGGGAAACAACACCTATATAAGGAAAGGAAGACAAAAAATAACAGGAGGCAGCATCAAATAGCAAATAGGTGTAATGCATCCATATGATATCTACAAAGTTGGTGAAACTCAGTTTTGATGGAAGAAATATTCATGGTAGAGATGGCCTTCTGACTGGGCATTGAATAGAAAATAAAACTTAGTGAGCGGAGAAGTAGAAAATTAAGCACAAGGCATAGGAAGATTGGGATGCATAATGGAAGATGTTAAGTACCAAGCAGAGCAACTGTTTTTTTCCTATAGGTATGGGGAACAGTTTAGAGAGAAAAATTTGTGGCCTCCCATTTCATTAGAGCAATTTGACACTCAAAAGATTTTTTAATGGTGTTTAAATATATTGATGTAAAATTAAGAAAATACTTGATGTTAAACAGTTCTTTCCACATCATTTTTTATGACATTAAGCGTACAAAAGGGGATGAATCCAAATTAAAGGAATGAATCATTTTAAGTAAATGGAACCATCTTTAGATTTTGAGTCTTAAGAGAAGCTGACAAGACTGGGAATAAAATTGTAATTTCTGACTTTGTTACCAATCTTGGATGGATGCCATAATTTTCTGATTCCTAAAATATTCACAAGGGAGTACCTACAGTAAGAGCTGATTATGTGAGAATAGGTAGGAGAGATAACATAGAAATACATAAATCAATATATGAAAAGGCCTAGGTTAGGGTTTATACTGAAAGGGTTTATACAAAATATTTTTATCGCTATTTATAATCAGGTGTTTTTAGCGGATACAGAATTAATAATAATTGTATATTGCTCTATTGTCATGCCTTTCAAACTTTTTTTAAGCTATAGAAGAGTGTCTTTATATTAAATCGGATTGCAGAGGCTCATTACGTAAAATAGATAAAACCAGGGAAGCTGTGGGTACAGCAGAGCCTTTGACATTCCCTCATTCCATTCCCAAGGTAGTTGCTAAGGCTGCCCCTTTCCCTGGACCCACCCTCTCTGGAGGTACTTTAGGGGCCCCGCTGTTTTCCAGGCCACCGATCAGAGAGCTTTTGTTTGATATCCTTCAAATGGGGGGCGTGGAGGGCATCCTCCCACGTTCATCATGTGGATGAGGTGAAGCTCAGAGATCACTGACACAAAGTCTTCTGGACCTAAACCCAGTATCTTTTAATATCACTCATCATTTTAATTGGAGAGTATTTTTAAAAGATGTCTTGACCCTTAACATCTAAAGAAACGTCCTCAGTTCTCAAGGGAGCCTGCACACAGAAGGTAAAACATGGGTGACTGGAGTGCTTCTCAGTGCCCTGACGCCAAGTGTAATGAAAGGATGGGTGGGTCGGCTGAAAGACCGAGTGCAGCTTGAAAGTCAGTACCTGGTTTCCTTCCAGGGCCCGCGCTAGAAGAAAATGACAGATATTTACTTAGTAGGGCACTCAAACACAAGATATTATACTCAGGATTATATATTACCAGTTTTTTTCTTTAAAAAATTCAAATAAATGTATATATCTAGAATAAAGGTATCATATTAAAATTAAAACTTTTAAGAGTTTAAAACTATTATTCTTATTTACATTCATTTCCATTTAACATTTCTTGCACAGGTCTCTGATTTCTAAGTTCATGGTAAACATGTTGATCTACTCCAAAAAGTGCTTGCTTATTTGACCCTTTTAAAGTATGTGCTAACATTAAAAAAAACCTTGTTTATTGGTTGTTAAACTTTCAGATCTAAGATGATCATGGTTTTTAGAAAAATCAACTAGCCTTAGATAAGTGTTCAGTTATTAAAAAATGGCCCATCTTGAAAATGCTTTCCCCAAACTTCCCATTCTGCCAGTGGTGTGATGGTAAACTCTCCAGGAGACTAGCACGATGCTGATGAATGCTCTGAGTTGCTGGGTTTATGGTTTATTATAATTTCCCTGATGCTGTCCCATGGCAGCAGGCATGGGTGTCGGGTTGTATTCAGAATGAGAACTGTGTGGAAAGATCATCAAACCATGGCGCAGCCTAATAAACCAGGTAACTAGAAAAATTTCCAAAATAACTACTAAACTTTTGGTATTTAATGATAAAAAAAATTGAGTGACCAAAGGACAGGTGGAACCATGAGGTTTTGTGTAATAGGGATTTTATCTGTGTTTCCCTGGTTCTGTTAGGCAACCGAAGTTTTGTGCTTTGCTATTCTTCCTGATGACATTGTTATCTTCTTGCTGTCCCCAAAAAAGGTGACTAATTCTCTGTTGGTTTTAAGAAGGAAAACAGGCAGAACAGCATGACTCACAATTATAATCATTCTTTTTATTTCATACAAGAAAATTGGTTTATGTGGGTAACTCAATTTAATTGAGAAGATACCTTACTAATTGCATTCAGTGAAGTGAAATACCCTGAACAAGACCACTTTTTGGTTAAATCACTTTATTAGCAGAACTGTAAATCTGAATCATCACATCCTAATGAAATTACTGACTTTTCTTCCATTCATTTCAGTCTTTGTGATAAGCTTGATGCATATGTACATTGCATATAAATTGTATTATACATCTCAAAGTATACATAAAATTAGGACAATTTTAATAATTACAATTAATTATATTAACGTTGAGGATTTGTTTACTTTTTAAATGATAAATGGTAATGATGACAGCTGAATTTTTTGATTAAAATCAAAAAGGAATATGTAGACTTTATGTTGAAAGAGAAGAATCATCCTGGAGGTTTTCTTTAAAAATAGTTTTTGTAGTCTCTGTTTGATAAAAATGACACAAAGACTTTACCTACAAAGACGGACCATCCCCAAAATCAAACAAAATCCTAGTTTTCCATTTCTATGGTACCTTCTGTTCTCATTTTGACACTGATTTTAGCTTTAAGAGACAAAAGTGGGAGGTTGAGAAATGAATCTGAATTGGACACCCCTCCTAAGTACTTCTGCCAGGAAGTCCCATAGCATTGCTTCTGCTTGTGTGGTCTTCCCTTTGGCTGTGAGTTCTTTGAGGGAAGATACCACATGTTATTTACCATTGTGACTTCAGTACCAGTAATGGGGATCACAGTGGAGCAGCTATGTAAGTGTTTCTTGATCAAAGACACAAATATGTTTAGTCCAATCACTACATTGTTTACAATATAAAATTATTTTGTGAAATTCCATTTTGGAATTCAGAGAATAAATCCCTTCAGAATTTCCTACAAGGTTGTAAAAGTCTACTCTTTCACACTGGATTTCATATTCAGAGGTAGAGTGATTTGAACAAAATAGTCACTTCTGCTGGACAACATCATTTTTAGTTTTAAACGAATCACAACAGAGTAGGTAAGTTTTTTGAGGGTTGCTCATTGAAATTGTGACTTTCCATGGAGAACAATAGTGAAGAACTAGGCATTGGGTTACACAGACTTTGAAGTCACAACAGCCTCCCATTCAGTTATTCCTATTCTGATGCCTTCTCACCTGAAGTATCTGAGCAAAGCCTCCAGAGTTATTTTATGTTCTTCCCTCTAAAACTTTCAGGGACTCTCAGCTACAGAATAAATTCAAAAAACTTTAAGTTGGCATTTAGAGGCACCCGTTACTGGGCCTCAGCCTGCATTTCCGAACTTGTGCCCACTTTTCCCCCTTCGTGTACCTCAATGCCCATGTACCTAACGTACAGCAGTCAAGTGGAATCTGTCATTCGTCCCCATTCAAGAGCTATACTTTCTTACAGTGTGCAAAGTTCATTCGGTTTATACCCTAACACATAAGTCCTGCTTCTCCTTAAAGCCGTAGTCAAATGCTAGCCAGCTTGAATTCTCTCACTTCTACTATTACACATATAAATCTTATGGCCCTTCTCATTTCTACATTGTTTTGTGGCTTTTATATATAGGTATTAAATACCATATTTGACTCCACGTGAGCCCAGGCAACAAATATCCCTGGGCCTTGACTTTTTCCTACCTCTCAGCACCTCGCATGTGGCAGAGCTTTAATAAATATTTATAGGGGTTATGAGTACATAGGAACACATATGTAAACTGGTAGTATAAAATGGTTTGGGCATTTAAGAATAAGGACTCTATGATACTGCCTTTTATATATTTTTAAGAGTATTTGGAATTTGGAAAATTTTATTCATATAAAATAGTTTCGCATGTGATTCAGTAATTCAGTATTACAGAGAAAATGATTATAGAGCCATGAATAATTGGATGCTCAGGAAACAGGGTGCTCTGAATAATATAATTTTCTGGTTAACTTGGAGTTAGGCAGAAAATCTTTTTTTGTTTCATTTCTTGCTGAGAATTCTTTCTAAATATGCTAATTTTATATCTTAGGCAGAGCATCATTAAATTTTTCTTTGATAAATGAGGATATTAAAATGCCTTTGGGTAATCATTACATATCTTATTCTCATTTTACATTACCATTTAATGTAAGGAAAGAGAGGTTTCTAAATTTGGATTGTATCTCTACTATATTTAGCTTTGGATATTATTTTTGGATGTGGACAAACACATGATATATATTTTTATAATCTTAACATAGGATGATCCAAAATATGTACTCTAGTTGTCTTTATGAATGCATTTTTCACTTGCAGATGAATATTTCCAGTCTTTTGCTGCATATTATTGGTAAAATTTTATTACTTCCAGAAATGTTATATTTATAGCTTCATTACTAAATATATTTATATAACATAATAATGAACCATATATAATTATTCTTTGTTGTTTAACTTTTGATTTAGCCTTTTCCCTTGTAACAATTCCTTTTTTAAAAAGTTTTTCTGAGTTATATGCAGTTTTAAATTTGTAAGTTAACTTCTTTACCTCTGGTATAATTCTTTTGTCTTTGTTACTTTTTCAGAAGTTTCCACAAATCACAGTAATCTTTTGACAATATTAAAACAGGAATCATGAACACCAAAGATTTTGTAGTTCTTCCATGGGGAAAACCTGGACATTCAGTAAAGCTAAAATATAAGTAAGTACCTGCCTATTTACTTAAGCAGAAATAGCTGCTAAAGTTTCTGTATATTGTAATTTAAAATCTTCTTTTCACATGAGACTATTTACTTAAAATTTTAAAAATATTTTACTTATTTTTAGAGAGAAGGGAAGGAAGAGAGAAAGAGAAAGAGAGAAACATCAATGTGTGGTTGTCTCTCATGCATCCCCTACTGGGGTCCTAGTCTGCAGCCCAGGCATGTGACTTGACTGGGAACTGAACTGGCAACCCTTTGATTCACAGGCCTATGCTCAATCTACTGAGCTATGCCAGCCAGGGCTCACATGAGGCTATTTAGAGTTGAACTACAATTATGTGAATTTTTATCTCTATTTTCTTCACAGTGGTATTTTAATCTGTCAGAGAGTCAGTTTGAAATGTTATAAATCTATATTATTTTAAAAACAGGGACTGCAAGTATTTATGCCACAGGAATCAAAGGGAAAAGTTATAAATGAAGGGTGGGCTCACTATTAAAACTATAACAGAAAGTTACAAATATTTTTGTGACACTTACTCAAAAATAAAAAAAGAATTAACCTGAAGAAAATGAAAGAAACTTAAAATTAAGGACGCTATTAAGGTGAGCGACCTTTTGAAAGAAAAAGGAAGTACTAACTAACCTAGCACTCTGTATAGACAAAAGCTGTTATGTTGAATTTCCTTTTCTCTGGAAGAGTACCTTCTGTTCTGGATATATTCAGCCAGAGGCAAACAGTTCTGGGCATCTTGGGAATTTTGTGGCACGGCAGGGATACCCGAAGGGTCACTGTGCTGTTTGCCCTTGTGGCCATTGAGAGTCACTGAGAATCCCCAAGACTATTTTCTCAGTTATCACTAGGGCAAGCCAGCATGTGTGGGGAGACTGCTACTTTATTTATTTATTTATTATTTATTTATTTTTAATCCTCAGCTGAGGACATGCTTATTGATTTTTTTTAAAGAGAGAAGGAGGAAGGTAGAGAGAGAGGGACAGAAACATCAATAGGTTGCCTCTTATATGCACCCCCACCCGGGACCAAATCTTCGACCTAGGCATGCACCCTGATCTGCAATCTGAGCCATGATGTTTGGATGACACTCCAATCAACTGAACCACACCAACCAGGGCCAGACTGTCAGATGCTAATTTTAGTTCCTGATGTCCCTGATAGAGATCAATAGTCCTGTGGTAGTTCAGTGTCTTCAGAGATTTCCTAATTCTCCATTTACTGTAAGAGCATTTTGTAAACTGGAAAATGTTATAATGCAAATTTATGGCATTATGATGATAAGAATTACCATTTTGTGGTGGGGAGGGGAGAAATGCAATTGCCAGTATTACCAATTATCCCTTTTTATGCAAAAGGAGAAGGAGGCATGCATTAGTTGATTTTAGTGATATGTTTCAAAGTCTGTGTGCGTATACTTATAAAGATTATCCAACAAACTTTTATTGAGAGTGCTAAGGAATGGTGGATTCAAAAGTAGAAAGTCACAATATTTGCCATTATGTACAATAGCCTGTGGAGAATGTGAATGAGTAAAATGACATTTACGGTGCAGCTGGAATCACAGCAGGATGTGGAAGCGCAGGGGCCGCAAGATCTTGGCCCAAACTGCTGGGGTGAGGTTAGGTTGTCTCCAGTTAGTTGGGTGAAAGTTGGGCTGAGGCATAGAGACTACACAGTGTGAGAACTTCCAGTCGGCTAAGATTTATAGGACAAAGTTGGAGACATGGGCAGCATCATATAGACGACAAGCTAGCTTGTATACCACACTAAGCAGTTTGGAATTTATCTTGGACATGAGGGGGATCATTATTTTCTGGACTGTATGTCTTCCTGACCCACAGCCCATAAACACTAGGACCGGAGCACCCACTCTGTGGTAATTACCGTGGAGTTCCCTTTCTTGGGTCCTTTTCTTATTCCAAGCCTATTTTCACTTGATGTTATCTTAACAATCGTCTTTATATTTGTCTCACATTTTGGTGTTTTCCAACCCCCCACTACCTCTTTCCCAGCCCCCAAATCATTTCAATACATTGTTTTTGGCTTTTGGGTTTGTTGTGTTGATGTGGTCCCCATAGGATCAACCTTCGTTTTTCTTTGGTGGCTTTCCTGCCCTGCTGACTTTGAGTCCAAAGTTGTCCCCAAAAGGAAAACTTTTGTCTTTGTCTTATTTTAGCACATGCACTGCCACCATAAACTTGACAACTTAGTCAGTGGGCCAGTACTTTTTTTCTGTCATAGTCATTTCCTGTACCACAGTGGGGACTTCAGAAATATTAGAAGTTCTCTAAGCAAATGATTGACAAAGTCATATTTGTGCTTTCAAACTCTTCCTCTGGAAGTCACGTGGAAAGTATTGTAGGCCTTTGAGACTTTGGGGTGGGAGACCATCTCAGGGACTAATCCTGATCTGTCCCCATCCCACCCGAGAGTGATCGATTTCAGGAAATGGCACCACATCCTCCTGATCGCTCAAGTAAGAAACCCGGGATTGTCTTAGACTTTTCTTTGTTGCTTCCCTTGGGCAGTAATCTACTTCTGGTCAATCTCCAAGGTCAGTTAATTCTCATTTCTTATATTCTCAAATGTTTGCATTTTCTCTACTGTCTCTGTGGTTAAGATTATTAAAATAGTCTCCTAATCGGTTTCCTTGATTCCAGGCTGTGCCCTTGTTCAATTTTCCATTCTGCAGCCAGAGTGACCTCTCTAAAAAGCAAGTTTGATCAATTCTCTTAAAATCTTTTAATGATTCTTATTGCTCATTACTTATTTGGCTCTTTATGGTTTTGTTGCTCTAACCCTCAGAAGTTCCATTTCCACCCACTTTTTCCATCCTGCACTTAACTCCTTGTCACGTAGAACCTCTAGCGCTTTGGCCCACCCATCACTCTTTCTACTTGTGCCTACACATATCTGTAATCCTGGCACACTGCTCTCACCACCGCCTTGACTGGCTAAATCCTTTTTATCCCTTAGGGCTCAGTTCAGTCTTCGCTTTTGCCAGGAATCGTTCCCGCAGTCTCAGAGGCTGGGTGCGTGTGTGCTTTTCCTGTCTGCCGTGCAACCTCCCTGTGCATCTCTCGTGAGCTCACCGTCATGCATTAGTTCAGTTACCTTCATGCCTGTGTTCCTCTCCATAGTGGAAGCTCCATTGGGTCTTATATTCTGTTACCTACTTCAGTGATTTTATGTAGTAGGGGCTGATTTACTCCTTGTAGAGTAGACATATTGAAAATAATGCCTCTCTGCCAGTATCTTTGCAGCTTCTCTGAATCTTCTGGATGGCCTTGGCCTCCCGTCATTTTTTATATTCCATCTGGATTGTGTCTATTTGGGGGTGTATCTTTGACCCACGTGCCCTTTGGTGAATGCTAACCATCTATATAAATTATTTCTGATATCTATTATTCTTAATTTAGTTCTTTGCTGTAGCACGCATGGATGCCCATGCTATAGGTTTAGAGTAAAGCACTAATGTAATAATGAATATGCAGTTTCAAACTCATGATAGACCATAAAAGAGAGACAACTATGTTGGGTTAGACCTACGAAAGAGTCAACGACTAATGCTGACTAGAGAACACAATTGTAAAATGAAGAAAATGGCTTGTGTCAAAAGTTTATGGGCTTCAGATGTTAATATCAAAATCTATTGTACAAGAATCTATGAGGAAGCTCTTTTCTGTTCTCAGAAAAGGACTCTTCTCATTGCCTTTCTTCAGTGGAAACATTTGGTGATATTTGGCTCAGTTTCCATTTGTTCTTTTCGATGGCTCCTGTACCAACACCTTTAATGGGTGTTTTCTCCAAGTGTCTGCTCTTTTAGTCTTTTTAAACTTTTGATTGTACATTCATGACATAAAGATAGAAATGTGTTGAATGTTTAGCAAAAATATGCATTCTGCTTATATAGAAAAAATCATTTTTTAAATAGTGTGCTTCATACTACTTGAATTCTTAGAGAAAAGATAGTAAAAAATTAAGAACATAAAATTTTCTTTGTTTTCTATTTTGTGCCATAGATATTTGTTCACATATAAAGGCAGAGCTCATATATAAAGTGGGTTATGATTTTAAACCTCTAACCATGCAATGGGAAAAATAAAAGTCTAAGAATTGAAGAAATACCTTGTTTAAGAAGAATGTTAATAGAAAGCCAATGCTAACTTTAGAAATCATATTTCAAAGGACAAAGAAGCAGTTCAAATACTTTATCACTATTTATTATTCATAATTTTACTTAAGAGAAAAAGATGATCTAAAATTATTTAGCCTTTATTTTGTTTGTTTATTTATCCCAAATGAACATTCTGCCTTTAAATCTCATCAGAAATGCTCAAGAACTGAGGATGGAGAAAGTACAGCTGGAGTTGCAGAACCAAGAGATGGAAAAGAAATTACAAGAATTCCAGTCAACAAGGAGGAAGGAGAAGGAGGAAAGAGAGTAAGTGACATTTTTAGAGAATTTTAGAGGACTAAACTGAATTTATGTAAAGGACAATTTTAGATACTACTGTCATTCCTATACGAATCTGCCCTGAAAGATAATTTCTGGCTTTTCTTGATAAACAAGCAATATTAAATTTCCCAAATACCATAAGATTTTACTCATATGTGGAATCTAATGAGCAAGCAAACAAATTAGAACAGACTCATAAATACAGAAAACAGAAAAAACTCATAGACATAGACAACAGTATGGTGATCACCAGAAGGGAAGGGGGTGGGGAGAGAGAGAAGAGGCTACAGGAAGGTTAAATGGTGACAGAAGGAGACTTGACTTTGGGTGGTGAACACACGATACAATATACAGATGATGTGTTATAGAAGTGCACACCTGAAACCTATGTAATTTTATTAAACGATGTCACCCCAATAAATTCAATAAAATAAAAAAATTCCCCTACTTTTTCTGTTTGAATCTCTTGTATAAGACATGTTGCTTTAAAAAAATACCATTATTTTTGCAACAACATGGATGGAACTGGAAAGCATTATGCTGAGTGAAATAGGCCAGGCATTGAAGGACAAATACCATATGATCTCACCTTTGACAGGAAGCTAAAGAATAAAACAAACAAGCAAACAGAATAAAAACAAAGACGCTGAAATAGAGAACAAGGGGGCAGCGACCAGGGGGGAGAGGGAAGGGAACTTAGGGGGAAAAGGGGGGGAGGGATTTTGAGGAACAAGTGTGAAAGACACAGAGATGGGGACGGGGGGGGGGAATGGGAGGGAGGGGGGAGACCGGGCGGGGGGTGGTGGGGTGGGATGGGAGAAATAGATTAAAAAAAATGTACTTGAAAAGTAACTAAATAAACTTAAAAAAAATACCATTATTTTTGTTTTCTCTGGACCTTATTTGCTGTTACATTTTCTTATTTCTCTTACATTTTTCTTCTGAATCATTTATAGTTTGGAATGTTTAGGACCTCAATGCAGTATTTGCCCTTTGCTCTCATAAAATTGCCATCAACAGGAGATTGCCAATTAATATTTTAGGACATTTTCTTTATTAAAGACTTTTTGAGGTGGAATTTTACATGTACATACATAAGAAACACTCAGACCCTTAAATATCTTCAAAATACTTTTAGCAATGTACTTTAGCTTAAATTTTATGACAACTCTCTGATATTATGCATGCATATTTATATGAATTTTACTGAGAATTTGGTTTTATTATAAAAATAATAAATAAATATGATGAAAGTCTAATAGAACTGATAATTATATAATAAAAGTATTCTCTTCTTAGCTCTAAGCTGACTCCTATCCCATTTTGTAACACTGCTTTTAACTACTAAAAATGTTTCTCACCACAAATGTTTTATCTTTATACAAGCCTATGTATATGTGTATATTAGTGTGTGTGTAGTTGATGTCTTCTATGTTTTTACAAATATGATTATCTATAGTTATATGTGAATTGATTCATATCCTGAATATCTACTTAATGTAAGTACTCTTGCCAAATCAGTACCCAGTGATCTTATATTTAATGGCTACATTAACATTTCTTTGCATGGATATGATAGCACTTATTTTTCAGATTTGTATTGTTTCCAGTATTCTGTGATTATATATACTCCCATGAATACACATCTATATATATATTTCTTATATGTGCAAGAATATCTATGGGGCAAATTTCTAGATATATATTTTAGATATATATTGCTAGATACATATTTTAAGTATATGAGTGGTGTACATATTGATAGACATTGGAGAAATAGTCCTTCCAATAAGCTTCAAAAGTGTGTAACTTTCTCCTATAGAAAATGAAGGCACATGGTTCATGTGCTTTTGCTGGTAATAAATATTACCACACTCTATGTATATTAAATTTTGTTTGGTGCGAGAAGTGATGGTCATCAGATTTCTATGAAGTACCATCTAAACATTTAAATTCAGATGTTTACTGTAGTTTCAGTAGTATTTATTTTTAAGTATAACTCTTTGAAAAATATTAATGAGATACAAACACCCTTTCTGATAACCAGAGTGTTGGTTTAATTGAGGCATCTCAATGCCGTACATCATTTCAGGTGACAAAGTTTATTGTTTGTATCTTGCTGCTTTTCTCTTAATGATCCAATTACTAGTTCTGTTTTTTAAAACTTCACTGCTTTGGGCTTATCAGTGGATCACAAATATGTCTGTGAATGAGAAGTTTTGAAATCAGTTCTCAAGAGAGACTTTTCATTAGCCCTTTTATAAAAATTTTTTAAAAATGTTCTAAAGCTTGACTGGGTTTTCAGAATAGTTAAATGCTTTTCTAAGGTCACACAGATATTGAATGTCATTCCCAGAATGAGAACCTGCTACTTAGTTGTTAGGAAGTTAGAAGTCCAGTGTTCTCATCTTGGCTTTATTTTTTACTATCTGTGACCTTGGGCAAGGTTTTGTCTCATTATTTTTTAAATGGGAAGTGGACTCCTTCCCTTGTTGACTTCAAAAAAATTTGTGAGTCTCAAATAAAGGTGCTTTAAAAACTAAACTGTAAAGCTAAACAGTTGCCTTCTTTGCAATCTGTTACCCTTCAGTGTAGTGCTAATTTGAAGTCTTAATAAATAATTGATCATTTAATAGGTCTGCTGAATCTTTTTGGTTATTGTTTTATTTGCTTTCCCTCTTTACATTTGTGGGTCTTAGCTTTTAAAACTGCATGACAATCTGTAAAAATTTCTATAAATCAATAAAGCTACATTTAGTCATAATGTCTAAAAATAGAATTCATCTGTTTGGACATTTTGTTTTTACTCATTTCACTTCAAAAGTCCCAAATATGGTAGAGCGATATGACGTCTGCCTGGAAGAAGTCCAGCCATTGTTAATACAATGGTTTGTGCATCATCATGTAACCTGGCAGCCAAGGAGAATGGACTGGAGTGCGCATGCATAAACAATGATGACTTCACTCTACTAGTTAGTGGGGGCAGTAGACGCCACTGGGTGAGCATGTGCACTGTGTGGCTGTTACATACAAAATGCCTGAGCTAATAGAGCAACAAATCTACATCATATTTTGTGTTAAACTTGAACATTCCTCTGTGTAATCTATTCAGGTAATTTAGAAGGCTGCAGCTATGGGCCACTGGTGATTGGCAGCATCATTAGGACAGTGCACCCACTCATGCATCACGTCTCATGCAGACCTTTTGGGGGCAAATATAAAATCACCCAGGCTCCCCTAGAGCTGAGATTTGGTGCTCTGTGACTTCTGGGTTTTCCTGAAACTCAGATCACCTTTGAAAGGGAAGAGATTTCAGAGTCTTGATGAGATTCAGGAAAATACAATGAGGCAGCTGATGGTGACTGAGAGAACTACGTGAGGTCCCAAAGTGCCTGTGTTGAAGGGGACTGAGGCATTATTGTCCTATGTACAATGTTTCTTGTCTCTTGTATTTTTTCCAAAAAATGTCTCTATTTTTCATTTTACATGGCTGGATAACTTCTGTACAGACCTCATATTTTAAAGTTACTGAAGATATTGACACTATTTTTTTTTACAGACACTAACGTTACTGACACTATGAATATTTCATTTTCATTTTGTGGTCGTCTGTTACATGTTAACAACTGAATTTCCATTTCATGAAATCAGAAAAATCTATTTGTTTTCATTAAAAGGAGAAATGTATTTAGTGGTTATGTTTGACTTCTGTTTACATTTATTAAAGGTCAAGTGAATATCACTGGAAATCTGGAAAAATGGGCAAATTGGGTACTCAATCACATAAAATGTCACAAAATAAAGGAAATGTTATTAAGGTAAGAAAATACGATTTGATTCTCAAACAACTTGCTAACAAGAATATATAAATTATTTTTTCTGATCTTGCATTCCCCTCCCATTCTTGTTTTAGCAACTTTGCATACTATTTGATTATGATTATTTTTATAGGTTACATAGACCTTTCATATTCAGATATCTTTTTGTTTTCCATATACAAGTTGATTTTTAGAAATTCACTTTGAGTTGAATTTTCTAAATGAATTTTTTTCTGTTAAGTTCAGTTCTGGTTTCAAGTATGTGAAATAGAACTGTGTAGTTCTAGGTTAAGGTGAAAGCTGTTATTTGATGTAACAAAAACCAAATTTTTTCTGCCTTTTCATTATATCACATTTGTTTAATATGCTGATGTTCTGCTTCAATAGTAATTATTATTCATATCCTATTGATTCTACATGTGAAGATACCCAAGGGAAAAAAACTTACAGATTTCTCAGTCATAGAACTGCTTTATTTTTACCTATGTATTGGAAAATATATTATTACATTACATAACTGATTAAAACCAGATGAGTGTCTTTCTGTAAACTTTTTTTCTTCTGAATTCTTAAGCACAAGATCCACGACTTTGTAATTTTTATCTTATATAGCTTTTCCTTTTTTATGTGCCTATCATTAAACTTTCATCGGGCAGTTGGCATCTACAAACATCTCACTTGATGCTTCTAAACTTATTGGCTTTGGAAAAGCATCGTATTGTTTAATGTCATTTTCTTATTTAGTAGGTCTTTTTAATTTTTGGATTAAACAGTTCATAGTCCATTTTTTATTATCTTTCTGAGATATAGTGTTCCATGTTTCCGATGTTATTATACATATGGTATACTAAAAATGCTGAGTCTGTGATTATTGACTTATTTATTATTCAATATTTACTAAGCATCTCTTTGTCATAGAGTGAATTTTCCTTATTCTCCAGTAAATTCTCATCTAATGTAAAAAACGATTCACATATGAAAATATTTATATAAAACATCAGTATACAATTTTTTCCATAACTATTTAGTGTATGAACCATCTGTGCTTGGGAAATAGTATAGTTCTACACATATTGGAAAGTCTACTAGATGTGTTTGTAAGAACAAAGTGCTGAATAAATCATAATGCTAGTCCTTACAATCTTCATAACTGAGTTGAAGGATGAAAACACGGGGGATGCTGTCGAAGGCGGGTGTAAAGGTCTCCCTATAGCACAGGAGGGAAGGCCTCCAATAACAGGCTCAGGAGTCTTGATCCTTTTCACTGGGCGAATGGAATTCCCCGACAGCTCTGGAGCAGGAGCACAGCAAGACTGAGATGACGATTTCCGATGGCTGATTTTGTTCAAATATCTAATGCAGTTGGGATTTATAAATATAGAGCATGTGATATCCAAACTATTTTGATTATGTATCACATCAGTAAAGAATATGTTCTGAGCATAGCTTTGTATACATCAAGTCTTTATTTATTCATAACTAGAATTAATTTTTTAAGATTTTATTTATTTATCTTTAGAGGGGAATGGAAGGAGAGAGGGAGAGAAATATCAATGTATGGTTGCCTCTCATGCTTCCCCTGCTTGGAACTGGCCTGCAATCCAGGCATGTGCCCTGACTGGGAATCGAACTGTGATACTCTGGTTCACAGGCCTGCATTCAATCCACTGAGCTACTCCAGTAGAATTCATTTTTATATATTCTGTTTACTGATATATCATGTGCACTCTAAAGCAAAATATAGAGGTTAATCAAGGATAATATAAACATAATAGATGTTTCTTGTCTCCTCTCTGGTCTTTTCTTGAGCTCCCCCAGGCATGTATACATACTGCTTTGGAAGCCACCAGTATAGAGGCAGAGAGACCGTTAAAAATATCTAGAGATTCAGATCAGAAGAGTCTAACTTAAAATGTAGCAGAAAAAATAGAAAGGAAACTATTGGACCAAAAAAAGCAGTGATAAAAGAAAGGAAGAAGTCAAATACATAACAGATATTGCAGCCTGGGTTGGCGAGGAAGTAGAATAAAGAAGGAAGTTAGAAAAAAGTTCTAGAGTATTGATTTAGACCTCTCCTCTCTCCCTCTCTCCTGCCTTCTCCCCCAACTTTATTGAGGTATAAATGACAAATAAAATTGTAAAGTATTTAAAACGTACCATATGATAATGCAATATACATGTATATTGTAAAAGGATCCCCACACTGACTTAATTAATACATTTATTACTTCACATCTCTCTCTCGTTTTTTTGTGAGAACATTTAAATTCTACCCTTTTAGTAAGTTCCAAAGGTTTAGAATTTTCATTCGAATTTTCATCTGTTACTTGAATCTGAGAGAGTGAATTGGCTCCTAAGCATTTATAAAAAGGGGAAGAAAAAGATAAAGGATAAAGCGCAGGAAGGGCAGGTGTGAAGGGTCAAGCTCACAGTCTGGAGGCAAAGAGAACTTTAACATTTACTCAGTCTGTTTTGCACCAGTCAACAGTTTAGCCGCTCTTTCCGTTTTATCTCAAGTGCTTATGTCACTCTTGAAAAGCAGTTGTTATTTTTTTTTTAGTTCCACAGATGAACTAATTTACCATCAAAAGGTTAAATAACTTGCTGAAGGTCAAGTGCCTGGGCCAAGGTTTGGAATGCAGGCTTTCAGGCTGGTCCTAAGGTAATTTGCTAGCTCTGCAATAAAGGGAGCCTGCAAAGAGAAAAATGGTAGGAGTCGAGTCAAAGCAGTGTGATTTCATTGAAGAGGAAAGGGAAGGAGGGTATTTTAAAAAATATATGGAGAAGTCAGTCTTGCCTAATACATTGTGCAGTGGACCCAGTTTTGAGTCTAGTTTTAGACCAGGGTTTCTCTGTAGGGGTCAGTCCCCTCCCACCCCAACTTCCTGCTACAAGGAGACATTTTGCAATGTTGGAGACATTCTTAGTTGTTACCAGGAAAGGGTTTTTTGTTGTTGGTGGTGGTGTAGTTGTCATCATTTTTCCCTAATGGTAGCAATGGCTACAGGCCAGGGGTGCTGCTGTGCATCCTACAGTACATTGGACAGCCCCATAGCAAAGAATTGTCCTGGCCAAGGTCAAGAAACCTTGTTTAGACTAAATTTCTCACTGATTTTATTAGCTATGTGATTTTGGGCAGGTTATTTGACCTTTCTGACTTTGTGTTACCATATTTGTAAATATGCATAATGGTACTTTGTAACTACACAGAGTTTTTGGCAGTGTGTGAAATAATAGGGGTGAGGTCAATTGTAACATTACCTGAGAATCAATTTAAAATGTCTCTTTGTGGAGAATGGGGATTTCTAGAAACACTGAACTTGGTTTGATGATTGGCTCATTACTAGATGTAAAAGTATCTTCAAGTGGTTGAAAAAGGAAAGCAGGTGGCGGTGAGTGAAGACTAGCATTTCAGTGATGGTGAGGAAAAGCCTGGCCTCTCAAGGGCTGAATAGCATCAAGGAAAAACTTTATTACATTGTTTTTTAGACTAAGGGAGAAGATGAGTCAGTGCATAGTTGAGAGGTGACTCACAAAAGTAGAGTAAAGACTAAAGGTGGAAACCAGAGAGGTGTCAGTTTTGGGGGGCTCATTAAGCAGTTCTTTACCAAGGGGAAGGAGGACTCATTTTCTCTGAGACCAGAGAGATGGAAGAAGAAACAAGTGGCAGTAAAGCTAAATTTTTAGAGGTTTTATCTGACAGAGTGAGGAAGAGGAAGCTGTGGAAAACTGCTAATGGGAAGACCTCATCATTCTTAGTAAATTTGACGGCAATATCATCTGCCAGATTAAGGAAGAAAAATGGGGTAAATTTGAGTGTTTTTGGAAGGGAGAAATTCTGGATTAGACACTGTGGGTGACTGAGGATTAGCAGCAGATGAACACATACATTGTGGAAGAGCCATAAGAGCCCACTGGAGTCGTTCAGCATGGATTTGTAAGGGACCCAATCAGTATTATGTCATCGCAACGCCGGGTAGGTATGGGAGGTTTAAGAGAAAAGAGGTAAGGTTAGCACTGAGAAACTCTGACTTTGGCATTTTGAAGGTGTGGACATACAGATATCTGCTTAGGTTCCTGGTTTGGTCATAATGGTGAAGTGGCTGAAGAGACACTTGGAAGTTCATAGTAGTCACATGTTGGAGGGTCTTCAGCCTCATGGTGTCAGGTGGACATGGAAGTTGAAGTGTCCATGATCATCCCCCAGAAATGTGATGAACAGAAATACTGGGTGGAGTGCTGACCTTCAGGTGGACAAGGGTTCTGGATATTGATAAAGGCAGAAAGTGGATGGTGGGGACCTTCACCAGAGGCAGTGAATGATAACAGCAGTATTGAGGAGTAAACAGGAGAAAAAATTCTTCTCCTGGTCAGGAAAGGAGAGTAGAAATGGACCTAGTTCCTCTGGAGAGTTCTGTGGAGGAGGTTGTGTTGGAAGAAAGGTAGGTCCAGTTCATGTGAACTTTTGGAAGAGGCATTTTTAGGAAAGGTTTAAGGCATAAGATAGTTAAATGACTGTTTCATTAGTACTCCATCAAATGGCAGGGGAGCCCTGGACAGAAGGACAAACAGTAGAGAATGGCAGAGGTCACATAGCTAATTAGATTAAGAATGTGTATATTTGAAAAGGTGACCTGTGGGAGGAGTGTGGGCCCAGCATGGGGGGTTAGGGCATTGGAGGGAGTTTGGGGGCATCTGTGAACACCAGGGAGGCAGAGGATGACAGCATAGTCTGACTCCAACGGCCCAGATGACACATGGGTGTGGTAGAGCCACTAAGCTGCCCTGGTACCTGATGGCACATCTTCAGCAGCTGCTGGTGGAGGCATAAGTGGTTTAATAGGGCATAGGCTTTAGTATATTGAATTACTGATGTTTGAATATACCTATATATGCATATACTTAAAGCCATATATATATGTGCATATTTGTGTATATATGCATGGATGTGTGTGTGTGTGTTTCCTTGGTTCAGTCCTACTTTATCCTCAACTCCCAAACAGATAAACATCGGACTTAGGAATACATTCTATTTTCTGAAAAATAGCAGCTAGCATTTTGTTCACTGAAATATTTTTTATGCAGCTTGAGTTATTTTAAGTAAATATGAGCAGGAAAATATTATTCATGATACTAAAAACAAAGTATAAAATTTCCCTAATTTTCCTAATAATGGCTTTAGTTTGCTTTAGCAAATCCTTTCTGCCCAGGTAGCCTATAACTACATTGATCATGCTGCAATTCAGATGTATCATTAAGGTAATAACATTAGATAATTTGGTTATAAAAATGAGATTAAATTATTTGTAATTTGTATAACACTGCGAGTTTAAATGTGAAAGCATGATTCACTAAGAATTGCTTATTTCAATTGTACTGTCTTCTTTTTTTGCTGTGTTTGGTACATAGTATCTGAGTAACTACTTAGAGAATGTGAACAACAAATGTCCTTTTGAAGCAAAACCACTAGATTCACTGAAAATAATTAGGCTGAAATTTTCAGATGAGTGCATTTGGTACAGCCACAGACACAGAGGCAAGCATCGTTCTCATATTGTCATGTACAGATCAGGATTGAGCATGCAAATCACAAATTGGAAACCAGGCATAAATTGACAGTGTCTGTGTAAAGTGCCTCTCGTCTGTGTTTGTTTGTGCCCTTTGAATGTAGGTTTTAATAAGACCGGGGCAAGTGTGTGCGATTGATGAGTCTGTTTTATTTCTTCAAACCTTAAAAATTCCAGGATTTTAAGTGAATGTTTATCTGAAATACCTAGCAGTGAGTCTTAATTACCCATGTATATCTGTATTTCTGCCTACATCTTGGGAAAGTCAGGGATCTCGAATAATATATTTGAAGGTTAAGTTTATGACCCCTAAACACATGGTTCTCTAAACTGGGCAAATAAGGTAATAATATTGGTTTCTTCAGGTATGTAAGCAGAGTAGCTCAGTCTAAATTCAGTTTAGATTTAGTCTACATGAATATTTGACTTTGCGCCTTTCAGAAAGATCAGAGATGGAAAAGCCTTTAATATTTGAATAGTAGTTTTTTCCTAAAATCTTTTCTTGATGGTATGTAATGATTTTGTTTAACAAATAATATATGGCATGTTTAAAAGACTGTTTTTATATAGTTCCAAAATTTATTTTCTTTTTTAAGAATTTTTATTAATTTAATTTAAAGTTTTTATGTTTTTATGATGATCTACTAATTTTATATTATTGTTTCAAAATGTTTGGTTTGTTGAACAAGCACCGAGATTTTATAGCTTTTTAGTCTTTTTGTTAGTGACTTCAACTTCCTTTGAATAAGAAGATGTTTACCTAACAAATGATATCTATTTCATTAATACAGCTTCCTCCTGGAAAACTGAAATTAAAATTACTGAAGGAACAGCTTCAAGGTAAACAGTTTACCACTGTGCTATTAGCTGCCTCAGCTATCATTTCTTCTACATTTGAATTACATAGAAAATTAAAGCGCTAGAACTGTTTATTCAGTATAAAGATTCTAACTCCCCAAATGATGACTCTTTACTTCTGATATTCAAAATACATTTCACTTATGTTTGTGGGGGGGGGCTTATTTTATTATCAAAGAGTGTCAATTTAGAGTATGATTAGAATATAGCATTTTTTATAGTGAGGACTTTCATACCACTGGTCCTTAAAGTTTGTTAGTGTAATTTGTAAGATAAAAATTTTTCAGTATAAAGTTGTAAATTGAAATTTCACTCTAAAAATTAAAAGAATATTGAAAAATTTCTTTATATTTTAAAACAGTTTGACAATAACAGACACTAAAATCAATTCTGAACATGCCAATTTCAAAAGAAATTACTTCTTTTTTAAAAAATATTTTATTTATTTACTTTTAGAAGGGAAGGGAAGGAGAGAGGGAGAGAAATATCAATGTATGTTTGCCTCTTGTGCATCCCCTGCTGGGAATTGGCCTACAACCCAGGCATGTGCCCTGACTGGGAATCGAACCACAGCTGTTTGGTTCACAGGCCCGTGCTCAATCCACTGAGCTACATCAGCCAGGGCCATAAGAAATTACTTCTTAATAGAGGATAAACACATTTAATTTGAATGGTTAAGATGATTTGGTAGAACAAGTTATATATATTACTATATATAACATTTATTTATATATGTTATTTGGTAGAACGAGCTATGTTAATTATATATAAATTATATATATTATATATATAACATTAATTTAATTTGAATGGTTAAGATGATTTGGTAGATTTATTACAGAAGATGTTCTGTGTAGGCTTCAGTTTGATCCAGAGATGGGACAGAATGCTGGAGGTATTCTATCAAGAGAATGGTTTTTAGCACTTATTACATTCTATAATTTCACATGTCCAATGTAAGTGAGTTTTAAGCAGGGTAGATATGAGTGGATATGTGTGGCCCTAAAGTCACGGGAAGGGGACGTGAGCTCCCCAGCCTACTGGGAGAGTTAGACTTGGCTACATGCCATTCTTACTAGGTAACTAATGTTTATATATTATATGAGTATTTAGAAATATGCATACTTTCATTACTTTATCAATCAAATCTAAACTTTATATTTTAAAGTGATTAGTCTGACTTTTTCTTTTCTTCCAGAATCAGTAAGACCACTTAATTATAAAATGGCAAATTCTTCTGAAAGTGACAAACCCAAGATAAAAGGGAAGCCTTGTGGTCAGTGTGAGAACAAAGCCGCTCTGCTAGTACGTACACTACAATAAGATACTGGAATAGCACTTATGCATGGTCTCAGACACCTCTCCCAACTTAACTGCCTCGGTAGGCACACACTTTTCCTCTGTGGCTCGTATTAAGGGTGAGGTGTGCATGCTGTTGGGGCTGTGCGTGCTGCTGAAGCTCACCCTCTCCTTCCTGTTTGAGGCACTGGCTTAACTCATCCTCTCTGCCTTGGATCATGCCGATCAGCACACAAACATGCTGCAATATCTTCTACCTACAACCAAAGCTAAAGTGACAGCAAACACTCTCCTTTGTCCCCCATATCTCCCTCTGTACTTCTATTTTGGTAACAGTTGACAAGTTGGCTATACTTGCTGTCATCATAGTCTCTTCTCTCATTCTGTCTATTTTTTAAAATTGAGATATATTTTATTTACAGTGAAGTAGACAGATCTTAAATGTATAACTAATTGCCTTTTGACGAATACTTACACTCTTATCAAGATAATGGAATGCCCCTGAAAGTTCCCTTCTGCCTTTCCCAATTCATGTTCACTGCAAAGGCAACCACTGCTGTGGTTTTACAGAAGCACCTTACATTGGTAGTACCTATTTTTGTACTTTATGTAATGGAATTATAATGTATATGTACACACACACATACAGGCACAGGCAAACTAGTTTTATAGTTGTGAATATGCAAAACACAGAGTTTATTCTTGCATTATTTATTTATTAATTATTGCATTATTTATTATTAGTAGTAACCTCCTTTTGCCCACCCCTCTATCTAGATTTTGTGTAAGTTTTCTTTTGCTCCATGTGGAGATTTATTCATGTTACATTTTCAGTAGTTTGTTCATTTGTATTACTGAGTCGTATTCCATAGTACAGATACACCAACATTTGTTTATTCCTTCACATGTTGAATGACATTTGGGTTGTTTCAGTTCTTTTTTTTCTATTATGTTTAAGACTCCTGTGTACATTTATGTGTAAATCTCTTTTTTCCCCAAAATGATATTTATTCTGTCTTTCTTTAAAAGTTCTGAAGTGAACTTGAAAAAAAGTACAAAAATAGAATGCTTTCTGACAGCTCTGGAACTTTCATAGATGTGAATTCATGAGCTTTAGAAACTACTGTAAAATCCATCATAAGTTAAATGTTGCCATCTGGGCCATTTTAAGTGCAAAGTTCAGTGGCATAAACCACATTGCTTTGCTTCTATCACCACCATCCAGCCACTGAATTCCTTTCAACTTGCAAAACAGAAAGTCGGTACTCAGTAAAACAAGAACTCCCCACTGCCTCCTCCCCTCGCCCCTGGCAACCTCGACTCTAGCTCTTCCTCTCTGAATCTGACCATTAGGTTTCTCATGTAAATGGAACCACAAAGTACCTGTTTTTTATCATTAGATAGTATTGTCCTCATTTCACTTAGCGTAATATCTTCAAGATTTATCCATGTTGTAGCCTGTATCAGAATTTTCTTCATTTTTAAGGCTGACATTCCATCGAGTGCACTGTGAATAATGCTGCTGTCAACATAGGGGTACAGATATCTGTCCAAGTTCCTGCTTTCAGTTGTTTGGGGTGTAGACCTGGAAGTGCAACTGCTAAATTCCCAGTCTTTCTTCAACCCTCTCCATTCAGTACCGGGTCTCTGCTACTGACAGCAACTGCTCCTCTGATGGTCGCCAGTGGCTTCCACATTCAATTCTCAGTTCTTTTGTTGGTTTATCAGTGTAGTGGTCTATTCTCAGTTCCTATCTTAATCCATCAGTAATATTTGATACAGTAACCCTCTCCTCTCCTAGGACTCTTCACTTGGCTTTCTCTGAAACATCATTCTCTCTTGGTTTCATTTTATTTTGCTAGCTGTCCCTTTTCAACTTCCTTTGTTGGTTTTCTGTATTCTTGACCCCTTTGAATGCCTCAACCCTTGGTCCTTAGCCTCTTCTCTAGTCTGTCTACACTTGCTCTTTAGGTAGTTGCATTTATTGTCTCAGCTTTAAAGACCATCTCTACTTCCATGCTTCCCAGATTTACATCTCTGATTCAAGCCTCTCCCCTTGAACTTTCAACTCAGTCTGCTCAATCAGCACCTCTAGTTGAATGTATAAAAGGAATCACTAATTTAAAATGTTCAAAATTGAACTTTTGTTTATCTCCAGCAAATTTCCTCCCCCTACACCCCACAGTCTCCTCATATCAATAAAGGTCAACTCAAAGGTTACTGACCCCCACTGATCTTTAGAAAACAGCAGTAACTGAGTTGCACTCTAGTTTCATGAAGCTTCTTTATTCAGCTGCACAGCAGTTATCACCCTATAATGCGTCTCTGTTTTCCACTTGCCTTTAATATAGATTCATGAGAATGGTGACTTCATTTCATTCAGTGTGGTGGGTTCACCTATGCCTGCAACTTAGCGGATACTCAAAACATATTTGTTGAATGAGTCATTTCTTTAAAACTTCTGTAGGATAGACTTTAGACATATTTTCCTTTCAGTTAATATTGATGGTACCCAATACCTTTTGTAATTTAATATATTACACATACTTAAGAAGCAGGTTTTTTCTCCCCAATAGCTTAATATATTGGGGATTATATTGGGGATTATATTGTGGAATATTGGGGATTATAACTAATATTGTGGAATATATTGTAGTTTCAGAGAATTTAGCCATAATCACTTCTGATTTAAGCCTGTTTTTACTAGCCTTATTTCATGTAGTTTTAACTGGGCTCAAAGAGTTAGAATTCTGTGAGTTTAATAAACGGCTTAAAAACAACATTAAATGTAAAACGCTGGCTGTTGGTAAAATGCTCTTACTATGACATCAGATTGTAATAGTGTTAGAGATAATAATGGACAATAATGTAAAGAATATTAGCCAATTATACCTATGTTGCAATGTTTAAAAATTTAAACAAATAATATTTTTGAAGCTGGAAGTATGAAAGGGGCTTACTGGTTGAATTGGATTGTCGAGGTTTATTGTTCGTGATCTGAAAAAGGATTTAGGTAGTAACTCTGGGTTGACATTTCTATGGAATCCTATTCTATGTGGAGCACTTTTTAAGGGCTGTGGAATTCGAACAGTATGGCATATGTAGGCAAGACTTTGCCTGAAAATAAAGGGTGAGTTTTTTTCCATCGAGTAGGAAATGTAAGAAAATGACATCCCAGACAGGATAAATGACATATGCCCTTACTGGAAAGCAAATGAGTGAAATATATGCAGTGATTAAAAAGCTGATTTGCCTGAAATCTGTGGAAGTTCAGATTTACGTCCTAAATATACTTAAACATTTCACTAAGATTTTAATAAAGGATGCTCTTCGATTTGATGAAAATATACTTGTTAAAACACAATAATAAATTGTTTAAAAATTGAAGCTAGGCAGACCTAATTGAGTAGACTGTGGTCGTGTTAAACTCCGAGTTTATCCTGTGTTTTAGCTTCCATCATTCTAGATTATAATGTTGGATAATTAGAGTCAACCTTTCTATATCTCGTGATAGTCTCTTCATCAGGGAAATTGTTTATTGGGATTGGGTTAAGACCTCGTGTTTTGGGGTTTTTAATCTCAACTTTACCTTTTATTAACTACATGGCCTTTAGCACATGACTGGATTCCTCTATAGCTCTGTCCTCTCATTTGTAAAGTGGAATACTATGAATAACTGTAGACTATACTGCTGAGTTATTCAGGACAGTGGGTTAATGCATGTGAAATATTCAGCACTGTGCCAGGTACATTGTCAGGAGACTCTAAACTGTGTGTTTTGGGCACATGTTCTTATGTCCTGATGCATTCACATATGTTGGTGGTGAAAATAAAGTCCCAAACTTCTAATTCTTCTTTTAATGTTTTAAAGATGTTACAGTAACTTTAGACTGTTTCTACATGGCAAAAGTGAAATGGATATTTAAAAATTACATATTAATTTGGCAGATGTGGATAATTTAGTTAAACTCCAGTGGTTTCCGAGGGCTTAATACAACGGACTGGTCCAGCCTTGATGGAATTAAAAAGATGTCCACTGAAACTGCACTTGGGTGCGCCGCCCTTGAAGAAGGGTCTGCGGTGGGGTGGAGTGCTCGTCTGTGTTCTTCGTATGTTTCTGCTAGTTGCACAAACTGCCTAAAAAGATTTTCCAGTCAGCGGTCATTTTAACCCAATTTAACTCCAAATATGCTTTTGTGATAAAATACATAAGCTGACTCTGCTGCCCTGGCTTTGATCTCCCAGTCTGCGGCCTCTGCTCGGCTGTTCCCATCAAAACTCTGCTGTCAACTGACACTTGGCTTAGAATCGTGTGTTGAAAGTGGCTTTCTGTCCTCTCATTACATTGTAAAACCATTGCTGAGTATTTATTGAAAATTCATTGAAATATTAGCAGATAAGAAAAATAAAAATTAAGCAGAATGTATTTTGTGATACGCAGTACTATAAGGATATTGCCATATATTTATGTGGAATTATGGTTTTTAATAGATTTTGGACTTGAAAAATGATGTATTTAGATGTGTTCATCATCATTTTTCTAAGAGACTTCAGCTTTTGAAATAAGAGTTGAAAGGGTAAAACTAGTTTCCATAGTAGGGATAGTATTTTTCTTCCACTTAAATAAAAAATCCAGTGTTGTAGAGCTAATCACATTTGAACAAATATATATTTGGATTTATTTTATTTTATTTGTTTTTTAGAGAGAGAGGAAAGGAAGGATAAAGAGATGGAGAGAAACATCAATGTGTGGTTGCTTCTCATGTGGCCCACACTGGGGGCCTGGCCTGCAACCAAGGCATGTGCCTGGACTGGGAATTGAACTAGTGACCTTTTGGTTCACAGCCTGTGCTCAATCTACTGAGCTACACCAGCCAGGGCTAATTTTTGACATTGGAAAAAATATATTTGGATTTTGACAAATACCCGAATATGCAGCCATTGATATATTTATTTTATTGCAGATTTTATTGTTTTTAAATCAATGATTAATACTGAAATTAATGATCAATAATTGATTTAATGATTAGTAATGTGGATTGTGGGTAAAAGCTTGAGCTTTGAGCCAGAATGGGAGGTTGAAACTCTAGCTCTATTGGCTGCACCAACTGACACATTTTTAATCATTATGTTCTTTTATCATCTCATCTTGACAATGGTCATACAATGGCCTTTATCACTTTAGAGGGTTGTTGTGAAGAACAAATGAGATGAGATAGGTGAAGCTCTTAGAGCAGTGAGTAAATGCTCATTAAACATTGTGAATATTGTTGTTTGATTCTATCTTTCCTTTTTAGTTTCATTACAGCAACATATAAATTTCTCACTCTTTTAACCTTTTGTAGTGTTGTCCTAATCATTTTACATCTGATAAATCTGTCTGCATTAGTGTAGGTAACTATATCATTATATGGGGACTCATACAATTTTTAAAAATTGATTGACAAAATGTCTATTGGATTTTTAATAAGAGTTGCTCTGCTTTTCTATGTCTCGTACATTCTAATGCCTGGTTACTCAGGGTGTGGTCTGCACCAGCTGCTGCGTGCTGTCACCTGGAGGCTTGTGAGAAGGCAGCATCTCAGGTGGCATTTCAGACTTCCTGAACCAGAGACGATATGACAACAGAATCCCCCGTGATTCACGTGCACATTACATTTCGAGAAGCATCACTCTATTGCACATTTCAGTTCACCATTGACCAGCCCAAGGCAGAAGGGCTAGGTCAGCCTTTCCCCAGTCTGCCCCAAATGTCTCATGCTTCTGTGTCCCTGGTACTAGGGCAGAGGAAGGAGGGGGAGAGTGGGGGGTGGACACCCAAAGAGGGGGATAAAAGAGGGTCAGGGGAAGTGTGAGCTCCTTGACATAGACTTTCTGACACCATCTTTCCAAACCCTCATGCTTTCTCACTTGCACTAACAGCTGTTCTTCACCCAGGCAAACTCAAGACAAGAGGGATTTTAGCCATTTGCAGTTTTTTGTCATATTGTAATAAAGAGTATTGAAGTGGCTGTACAACTGCATGGTAGTAATTTCACATGCAGTGAAAATGTCATTGTCTTCTATATTAACTTCTAGTTTTGCTGGAAAGCAAAAAAATTTAGAGATAAATTTTTTATCTCTAAATTTTAAAAATTGTATTTTTACACCGTAGAGAATTTGGAAGATAAATATATATTTTTCCATAATCATTTCACTGATCACAAACATTGCTGATATTTCTGATGCAGTTCTACTCAGTTTTTAAAAATATTTTTCTTTGAGGACTCTTCTCAAAATACTTTTAAACCATATTTCGAGACTCACCAGTGAAGGAGTTCACTGAAGTGTCTGGGGACTTTTGGAGACAGATAGCATACATACCGTTTGGAACTAATCGTGCCCCGGGAATCCACACCTCGAGATGGAAGAGCGGAAACTGAGGCTGCACCGACACAGAGATGGAGTGTTTGGTTTCGACCACGTTGGAGAGTTTGACCTCATGCTGCCTGTTGTTTTGGGATTTATTCAGAAATTGTATATACGTACCTACACCCAGCACATGTATGAAACTTATATTCTAGCTGTTATAATTATTTTGATATGAGAGCAATTAGTTTGTAAGTTCATTTTTCTCAGAGTTAAATCTTGATTGGAGCAAACCGTTATCTCAGTTTCCTTGGACTTCTCAATTCCAATGACATCTAGGCATATAATGGAGAAATAAAGATAATAGCAATAACATCTTTAAACAGACATTTTCTCAAAGTCATATAATAAGATTGTATTTTTTTAAATATCTTTTAAGGTATGTCTTGAATGTGGAGAAGATTATTGTTCAGGATGCTTTGCTAAAATTCACCAGAAGGGGGCGCTGAAGCTCCACAGAACAACTCTTTTGCAGGTATGACTTGAAAAACTTTAAGATGCTTTACTGGTAGGGTATTTATAGAATGTTTCAACACAAAGCCATTTAAAACATGCTTAATTATCTAGAATTTAGGATGATTTACATTGATTTCTAAAATCCTGTTATGTACAGACAGTCTTTACATGCACCTTAAAACTATTTTACTGAACACTAATCTGGATTCTATTTTGCTCTTTAAACTGTGTTTTAAATATAGTTCTTGAAACACTTACTTGATTAGAATTTTTAGATTATGCATTCTATCTGTGAACTTGACATTTAAAAATTAGACAGTATTTTTATCTATTGTTTTAAGTGAACACATGATTTAAGTATTATTTCTAATTTATAAATAGAAATCTCATGTTTGCTTTTTTGTTTAGCTTTAAAAATTATTCTTTTATTTATCTTCACCCATTATTATTTAAATATGCTTATCTCTCAGGTTTCTATGTCTCCTCCTACATATTAGCAGCTTTTAGTCATTGCTTCTTGAAATGCCTAAACTCAAACCGTGTCAGAGAGTCTTAAGATTCTGATACTTAAGCAACAAATATGGTTAAATATAGATATGACATTGTACCATTTATATTTAATGATGCTTCGATTTCATTCATTTGGCAGTCATTTATTCGACAAATACTCACTGAATGCCTTTAGGACACAGTGTCCGTGGGGTCAGTGACCGTGCGCAGATGGCTGATGCTGGGTCCTGCTCAGGGGTCTGGAGATGAAACTGAAAGCCAAGGACCTTGTGTCGTTACACAAGGTCAAGGGTTTTATTATCTTAGAGGTAAAAAGATGGAGATGATTAGATCTATGTTTAGAAAGATCACTGGTAGATTCCAGTCTTTACATGTTACTTGAATATCAATACTGGTAGCTCTAAAGACCCAAGTTGTGACAAACACAAACATAAAATATGCCTTTCTCATATCATTATTTATCGTTACTTTCAAGTGGCTACTCAATGTTTAGATACTCCTGGCAGAAATGACAGAAGGAACAAGGAAAAGAAACAAATGGAAGAAACACAATGACCTATTATTCTCCTCCCTCAGGATGGTGCAATTGAACGGTCACAAGAAATAGAAATTGATGCATACAGAATTGAGTGTAATTGTTAACATAGAAATAGTACAGAATTTAACTAAAGACTTAACTTCACTTTAAGGGGAAAGGGTGTACTTACCCCACTGTGAGTTGATGTGAGGAATTTTCCATCCAGTAATTTATTCAGTACATTTTTTGAGCTATCGCTCAGTAACTTTAGCTACTGTGCTATCTGGTACAGGACACACGGAGAGGAAGAGACGGGGCTTTTCCCCTCAACTTCCAGATTTGACCTTCAAGATTTATCCATGGCTTAATTCTCTTCTCTCTCTCACACACACACACATACACATGGGCAGGGAGAGGAAAGGGGAGAGAGAGAGAGAATATAAATTTCGACCTTAGTTAAATAATTATCTGCAAAGTAAAATTCATGAGGGGAACTGATATTCATCTCACTTTTTTCCTCCTCATTTTCCTGTGAGTTCGGTGCCTCGGCCTGATGGTCGTTGTGCAGCAATTGGTGGGTGTCCCTGTGTAGCTCTTATAAACTAGTCATATAGCGGTTTTCATTTTCCACTAGTTTGGTAACTATCAAAGTCACCTCAAGTAACTATCAATTAAGATTTTTAATTGACCGCTGAATTTATACCTGATCTGAGAAGTTAGGGTGCATATCTGATATCTGAATATTAATCATTACTATATAAATAGTAAACCTACTAGGCTAATGGCTGCTGTGCTTTACATTCTTTACCTATGCTGACATTTCTGGTAGTTATAAAGCATAGCAAAATTTGATTGTTGTAAATCATTTAAACCCCCATCCTATAGCTCACTGACTCTGTACAAAGTCCATGGTCAATAAGGACCATTTTATTCTGGCTTCTCTTGTTTTACTTATGAGATAAATTGCTGAAAAATTGAAGGCAAACTATTACCACTTCCATGTTGACTAACATTATAACTTCACAAGGCCTTTCTTTTGATTTACAATTAATTTATACTTGGCAATGAGTCTGACACCAGTTTATTTTTACTTCCTCCAAACTCTATTATATTAAATAACTAAATATTTGCAAAATAAAGTGTAAGTGTACAAGGGTAATTACTAAGGGTGAAAATTCTACTTCTATATTTAGGATGATTTTCAATGACAAAGTTTTAAAAAAGGTTATCTTCATGTGTAAGCCTCATATTGATGAAAAATAAGGCCTTAGTATATCCGGCATTTTTATTTCCTTTTAACAATCAAACAGAAGAGACAAGGTTAATCGGAGTTAATGGAAACTATGGGGGAGACAAACAAAGACATTCGTTGTGAAGTGTTGTTCGCACAAAGAGAGATGGGATTAAAGAAATCATTAACCGATTCTGTTACGTGTATTTTCTTAATTGGAATGGGGATTTTCTGGAGTGGAAAGGAGAGATCTTGGAAAGTGAGGAGGTGAGGGAGAAGCAATAATCGAGGCATTTATATTCAGCCTCTTACATTTTTATCTCCAATGAAAGGTATGTCTACATAAATATAGATGTAAGTGGCAACATATACTTGTTTGAATACACTTACAGGGAAGTATCAGGAAGAACCTCAGTTATTATCAGAGTACAGTCTGTGCTGACTGACTCTGGTCGATTTGTTCTCCTTTAGTTGACAATGACCAATACTAGCTTTGGTGCTCACATTGTCATTATTCTGTTACTATTTAAAATAATACGGCATTTTTTATTATAGTTATTTTTTATTGAGGTATAATTTACAAATCAGTTTTACCACATAATGATTTAACATTTGTATATTGCAAATGATCACCACCATAAGTCTAAGTTAACATTCGTCACTATACAGTTACAAAAATGTGTTTTTCTTGCAATGAGGAATTTTAAGATCTACTCTTTAGCAACTTTCAAACAGGCAATACAGTATTACAAACCACACTCACCATGTGTACATTAAATTTCCATGGCTTGTTTTATAACTGGAAGTTTGTGCATTTTGATCCCCTTCCCTCTTTTGCCCTCTCTGCATCCCACCTCTGGAAGTCACCCATCAGTTCTCATAATACAGTATTTTTGAGTCATAGCTAGTCCTTTTGGATAATATGCTGCCTTAATAGGATGACCTTATTGTGGCCAGTTTTAAATGCCGTGCAGACACATATTTGCAGATGCTGTGATGTGCCGCCCTGATTCTACTCTTTAGGGCTGAGACATTTCACGAGTTGCCTGGAGTGTTGCCTGTGGATGAACCAGAGCTGAGTCTCTCCCCAGGGATTACCTTTGCTCAAAGGGAGCCATGACTTCGGAGCCTAAACCCCATCCGTGGAGGCAGCCCATTTCGCAGTCCAATTTCTGGTCATTGGGAGGGTACAAATTGCCAGCAGCTCACTTACCTCAGTTGTTAACAACTATGTCGGGCCATCAAAGCTCCCCACCTTGGGACTGGCAGTTAGTTGCACTGAATTCAGCTGTTCTCTTTGCCTGCTTCTGCTTCTTTCCCTTGTCCATGGGTGTTCGCAGAGTAGTAAAAGTCAGGCAGACAAATCTTAGAATTCTTTTCTCGGGGAAACGGACCCATTACGATATGTGATTTTGAGTAAAATGATAGATAATCATTGCCCTAAATTTAGAGTAATTCAGAGCTGTAATTTTGAAGGCCAATATATAACATCTTTTTCTTTACTTTCCAAATTCTGAACCAAGTGAGAAATAGATATTAGAGTCAAAAGGTAGAAATCAAAATATCAATTTTACTACGGACACCATCAGAATTGCTGGTTGTGGCGTGAATGGTGCACAGACAAATTCAATTTCCTGGTAGTTTCTTGAATTGAACTTTTTTCCAGCCTCGCCATCACATTGTAGGCATTTCCCTTCGGCAGAGCAGGCCTCCCCAGTAAAACTCCTTAACAGACCGACATCCAGTTGGGAACCACCCCTCTTTGGTCAGGCAGCTCTTAGAGAACCTGGAAGGGGCAGAAGGCTCACTTTCTTCTCCCAAAGTTTCACCAATAAAGTAGAAATACAAGGATGGGAGTAAATATTCTCTCAGAAGGGAATTATTATAATTGACATGATTTTAGGGTCTCAGTGTATATATATCCTAAAACTGTATATATTCACTGTTCATATTACACTTAAAAGTAAAGCATTGCACACACACAGGCACACCTGACTGAGTACTGCATGTTTCACTTATTTCTTCAATGGGAATAAGGCTTATTTCTTATGCCACAAGTCTCGGTTCCTTGTCCTTCAATATGATTATTACTTTGTACTTTCTCTGTCAAGGGGTTTTAAAAACTGTGCTGTTATTTACCAGTCCTTCTTTTATATCTTCTGATGCACTTTCAATTCTGTGAGGAAGGGGGCTGTGTCTTTAGCATGAGAATTTGACATTTAGTCAATTTTCTGGCTCTTTCCCTGGGAAACAGATAAAGGAAGTAATGTCAACTGTGTTTCTAGACTTGTGAAACACATGACTCCTGATTGGCCAGTGGCGCCTAAATGGGAGAACACTAAATCCTGGGAGGGAGACACGGCTCCCTGAGGGCGGTGAGCTGTACAGCTGGAGCACGTGCTGTGGACAGTCCTGCAGACTGGGGTTAACGCCAACGACAAACAAGGCTTCTAAGGGGGGCATGTCCCTCAGCTCCCTGGGCTGTGCCTCTTCATGAGCTGCTGAAAGACGCCAACCCCGCAAGGTCCTGTCCTGTTGGCGAACTCTTGTTCCTGTTCCTTCTGAGCATACAGATGCGAAGACTGGTTTGATGGCAGCCCTGTGTGTCTGAAAGTTTAGTGAACCCAGGCAAACTACTTGATGGGCATTGCAGTTAAGTCTTTAATTAACCAGCATGTCAAAAATCAGAAAGGTGGGGTACCAAAAAGGTAAGTGAAGAACACAACCATGAGAACCATTGACTTGAATTTTTTACAAAGAG